GTGAGAAACATCGTAACAAAGATTCAGTAAACTTGTTAATTTTCATCAACACCGTAACCACCATCTCGAAAAATAGTCCTACCATGCGTACTAGACATCCATTCAGCAAACCATACAGCCGCTTTGCGCGAAACTACAGAGTATTCTGCAATTGACCCCATGTCATGAACCTACCGTAACCCAACCATATAGCACCAGGGCAAGGAATCGTTAGTTTCTCAGTATTCTCAGTGTATAAGAACGAAAAAATCGTACGCATGGACTCACTATACGATACACTCGTAGGCACATTTTCGCGGTTTTTTCATGGCTGTAAATTGAAAATACGAAATTCGGCACATTTTTACCAAAACAATCCAGCTATTCTCACATGGGTGATTCTCTAGTATGAACCTTTAGGAGTATAACCATGAATTTTTAGCATTAGACCAGCGCTAGTTTTCGAGAAAATCGAATTGTTTGCAAAAAAACCGAAAAACGCGACATATTCGCATTTTTGACCTATTGTTATTTCCCGTGCTGTAACCATGGAAAATGCCACAAATTATAGAAGTGAATGTCTAATGTAGAGAGTACGGGCCTGTGCAAATTGGAAACATATTTTGGACTCGAACTTCAGGTGGAACACTCCGCGGAAGTTTGCGAACTATCTTGTAGAGCTTGCTTTGCTCTATCAAGTGGTAATCCATTCGCTGTTTTTTGGTCATTCTGTCGCGTAGGATGCCACGCGACATTATTTTCCGGACATTGTTTTTTGGTCATTCTGTTGCGTAGGATGCCACGCGACGTTATTTTCCGGACAATCTAATAATATTATTTTTGTGATCAGTGATCTACAGCTTGTGTACAGTTCTCAGCGTAATCTGCGGTTTTGCATTTTAGTATCTGGAATAGTATCCGGAAAGTGGTGTGCAGGGTTTCGCGCAAGCTGATTTCAATAATTGTCGCCTACATTACATTTACTTCGAAGTCTATAAAGCTTTTCCAGTGATGTGATAGTGTTGAGAAACAGTGAAAAAAAATTGGCTATGGTAAACTCGGCATAATTTTTCAACGAACTCAGAGCCAACCGATCTGATTAGCCTAGTGTAAGAGTTTTTGGTTATTTGGTTTCCTTCCTAAGACAAAATATGGCTTTCATGGCACATACCCATTTCAGGAGGTTCCTACCATGTACAATAACGAAGACTGATCGATGACTCGGCCCACACTTCAAATCTGAGTCGAATTATCTGCTAAAGAACGCTACTTGAAATTCATCAGAAGATTTTGTGGGAAGAGAAAAATTAACGAGAACGGACAAACTTCTGAGGCACCCTGTATGTAATGAAAGGGTCTGAAGAAAGAAGTAGCAGGCAAACCTGAACGCAACAAAAGTTTGAATTTCAGATTTCAGATGTTTGTGTGCAGAAAAGGCATAGCTTGAGAAGTAGATTATGCAGGACTGTATTGCCATCAAGGCATTTCTATGGTATCCAATTCTTTGAATACCTTTCCTGAATACTTCATGGATAAGCTTCGCACTCGTAAAACAATAGCTTCCACCCAATTTCTTTCTAACATGCACTTCAGAATTATCTTGTACGTTCCAGAAAGCAAATCTTTTGATATCTTTGTATATGTCTCATCTTGGTCGATTTTTCGTCCCTCGACCAAACATGGATAAAGTTCAAGTACTTGCAAAATACGAACATCAATGTGATGATGGTGTTGTCCAAATGTGAGACACGATAGACCAAGTAATTTTCAAGTACTTTTTTGCACGTACAACAGCAATAAGGGCTTAATGCGCTGAAGATGAAGTTGAAGAGATTGAGCAGGCTTGATGATATAGTTTACATTTTAGTTTCTACTGTATTTTTCTTGTAACCTTGTGTTGCAGTTGTAGAGCTTCTGAATCTTATTTGCTGCTTTCTGTGCAATCGATTCCATTGTAAAGCCTGCCCGAAAAGATTGTGGTGTTTGTTAATGAATTTGTTGACTTTGACTGGGTTTTACGAGCAGAACAATAAACAGGCGTGAGAGAGACCCGAAGAGACCAAGGAGAAGGTAAGTGAAGAGGGAAGGGTAAAGAAGTCATAGATGACGCAGAAATCCGCTTATAAGAACGGAGGCAGCAAGCTCTGAACGTGGTCGGGACATTATAGTGTCTCCCGCAGCTGTCTCGATTTTGTTCGGAATGTGTCGGTCGAGACACCTGATTTTGTCGCGTACTTTCGACCCGAAACAAAATTAGCTGCCCTAATTTTGTTCCGACACCGGTTTCGGGAGTCGCGCAGGCATTCCATGACTACACCTTTTGTCTTTCATTTCATTTCATTTGTACGCTCAAGGCGGTCCATAAAAAAAAGACACATCAAGAAGTTAGTAATACAGCGGAAACGAACAAGACATGTAAACAAGTGCAGACATCATCATGTCAGTCCGAGTCTGATCCTAATCAGACTAATGTGAGAAGGTAAAACAGCTTGCACTGAATATGTTGGTAGGCTAATAGATAAGTATGCAGATGTAGGCGTGAGATTTATAACTCCAAAACTTTGAATCCATGGAGATGGGACGCATGCTTCCTCGTTGCCAGCGGAACGATCTTTAGTTACTCTTAAAAGCAATCCGGCTGCTTATAAGGCAGGTCTACTGGCTCAAGTATAATAACCATAACCCAACCTGGCCGGAATGCTGGGGAGGCCCAATGACCCCAAAGGTGAAAAGATTCTCATTGAATCCATTTGTTGAAATAGCAAGCTGTACGATTGACTACTAGATAGCTGAACGAAAAAGACTCGGACTGAGATGCTGATGAAACTGTGTTAGTAACTAGAACAAAATGCGGGAGTCAATGGCGAATATGTCAGGCAGTGCTCTGTACCAAAGCAAGATTGGTGGGAGGTCATGCAGGAGTTTCTAGTACCTTTCCTCGCACCATAGTTAGCACCAGCATTTGCACCCAAGAGGATTCTAGCACCCCCGCGCTTCAGAGGACAAGCACCGTCCATTGCTCCACCTGCTGATTGAATTTATTGCGAGTTAAGCTAATGCAGTGATAGGTAGTTTCAGACAACCAAAGAAAATCAAGCTGTGGCTTGGCTAAGTTAAAAGAGAACATTAGTATTTGAGTTTCCGCTTTTCCGCACTCGCACTTATCCTTCGATGTTGCTTCAATACTACTTTTCACCTAAAATACGGATGGGAACACGTGCTAGTGTATTAGTCCCTAATTGTCTTAATTCTTCTTGTATGAGCAGCTTTCTTATCGCATCAGAGACCCATAAAGTCCGTTGCAGCACAACAGAGAAAGTTTTCCTTTGTATGATTTTTAGGTTACAAGGGAGTAAGAAGACGTAAAATTTGAAACTTATACTCCTCTGAAATCGAGGCAAGGTTCAATAATATGATATTGCTGCTGAAGCATCCCCATGAATGATTCCTACAGATTAATGATATAACAATTGGAATTGTTTCATTTGCATGCTGAAAAAAATGAAAGATCGACATCAAAAATGCTTACAAACAGCAAGCAGAATTTTCACATTTGATTATTTTATTTGGATACATTTTGTACAGTCTGCCCCAATCCTAACCAGCCAAAATCGGCATGGCGGGAGTCCGCGCCGCGAGGGTTTCTCACGCCACATCTGCGGCTAGCTAGTCTGCTCCCTCTTCGATCTCTTCACTCTCTGCGACAGCGCGCGTATGCAGCGCAATCCCCTAGCGCTGCGAGCGCGCAGATTCAGCCGACGGTTCGGCCTGATCCCGATTGGGGCAGACTGTAGAGAAAATCTACTCTGTTCTTATGTCAAAAAGTCTTGTCAATTGTCAGATGTTTCTTTTATCTTCTACCATTTTTCTGAACTATTGTCAGATGTTAATTGCCAGGTGTTATTCAATTCAAATCAAAAATCTAATCTCTGATTGAATAACATTTTTTAAAACTAAATCTGATTCTTCTCAGCTAGCGTGCTGCTATTAATACACCTTAGCAAATTTGCAATCATTCGTTGTTCGTTCGTGCGCTTTTTCTGAGCTTTCAAAGCTTGTGCATATTTCATTTGCCTCAGTGTGCCTATCGAATGACTTCTTTCTCATCCACTCAATTATTTGAGTGAACAACCAGGTGCAATATCAAGAAGTTGGAATCGAATATTCTATTCTACGCTACAGTAACTTAGCCATAACATGTATTCGACCACAGTATGATTATGGACTTGGAAAGCCTTTCAAATTGATACTCTGATTCAAAATGATGAGAATTGTGCGAGCAAACTCTATTATGTTTTATGGTTTTCTGAATCATGTGCTTTACTTCTTGATAATATACGAACAGATGCGAGTAGCTACAGGTAACTAAAAAAGTTGTTTTTCTTAGTTTAAAAACATGTCTACTTTGAGTAGTTCACCTGGAAGTTGCCATCATTCACTGCTTCTCAAGTTTGAAAAAAATCTTGTAAATCTTTCAAATTATTCTCCAATTCAGTTCCCAATATTGATTATAAGCATGAAACTTTTATTGCGTTCACAATGGGCGTACTTGGAGTGCGAAGCCATCGGCGCATCCGCCCTCTGACCCTGCGAAGGTGTGATGTCCTCCAAGGTTCCTGGAGATGGTAAGTGCCCCTAAGGAAAAGCGGCAAGGCTTTGGTAACTCCTGCGCCGCCAGATTGGTGAGATTATGAGAAGGTTTTTTTTTACTTCTGTAGAGGTTAGCTTACTTTTGCAAGAACAGAACTGCGGTTACAGCCACAGAATGTTAAATGTCACACTCTAGGCGTCCGACATATATTTTAAAATGATGCTACATTGTTGTGAATGTTTATAAGTGAAAAAGGCAGTTTCTGAAACGGGGGAGAAAGATTTCATTGGAAACAGGAACCTTCTTAATTCATGAAAAAAAATCTACATTCCGCTCCTCGCTCCGATCTTGTTTATTTGAGCATGAAATATCTGCGTGCTCCACTAAAATTAATTCTTCAGTATGGCAGATTTTATTGCGAGAAAGTTCATTACCCATCAAATTCATCGCCACCACCGCCGCCGCCACCGCCTCCGACTCTGACTTCAAAGTACACGCTCTGGTTAGCTGCTCCACCTATACCGCCACCGCCGCCACCGCCAGTGTAATCGCCGCCACCTCCTCCGAAGATCTGCTGTAAAATGAAAGTCATGTTACATGCTGTGTGCTCAGCAAATTAACAAACGTACCCTCCTCCACCAAAGTAGTCACCAAAGCTGAAGTAAACACTTTGCGCTTCTCCATCACCGCATGACGCGCTGCAAAAATGGAGTCGCTAAGTCGAAATTTTGCAGCTGGTACCTCATTTTTGACTTGCACAGGCTGTACAGCAGTCTTTGTGAAATCGCTAACTGATCTAATTGCAGTTTGTCTCGTCAAAAACTGGGCGAACTGCTGTCTTCGTTGTATTAACATGCACAGGGCAAATTGCAGTCCTTGTAAAATCCGATACTGGTCGAATTGCAGTCAAGGTCTCCGGCACGAGTCGGTTTCTAGGGTTTCTAACGAAGTCTCCCCTGATTTTCAGAAGTTATACGAAGTCCCTTTCCACCCATTTACTTGAAGAAAGATGAAAACTAGAAAAAATTCATTAGCCTGAAAGAGAAAAAAACGTGAGATAAGAGTAAAAATCTAGAGCTAAAGCTGAATACTACGCATGCACAGGAGTTTGACAATGGAGCACGATATCTAACAAAGCAATTTATGAAGAAATTTAGACAAAAAACAAAAAGAAGGCAATAATATGAAAATGTCTATATGGTCAGGGATAGATTTTTTACCGGGAATCCGTCCATGATAGAAAAATCCGAAACTTATGTGAAATGACAGAAATATATGCACCAGACAATCTCAGATCGTCTGGTAACCGTCTGAAGACAGACTTATTTACTTAGATACTTAGATGGCCCGTCCTCACGTGTCGTGCGGGCCTCAGGACAGAAGTTTCCATTGTTCCCTGTCCCTCGCTTCGGACATCCACGATCTTCTTGGGTGCTGGGTGGCTGCGTCCACGTTCCAGGGGCGGAAATGGTATCCATTTCTCAGCTGGTCCATCCGTTCCACGAACACGTCTGCCCATCTCGTCGGAGCCATTCCTCCGAGACGTTTCGCTTCGTGAGGAATCCACTCCGATGTTCTTAGTGCCCATTTGTCGTCTGTTCTTCTCATGCTGTAACCGGCCCATCGATGTTTCGCTTTCGCAACGCATCCGGCTGGGTCACCAAGAAGGAACATTCTTCTCATGTCCGTACTGCGAAGTCCAATTAGGTGTTGCTTGTGTCGGCTCATCTTCAGAAGACTGCGCTCAAGCGCTGTATGGGTGGTCCGTAAAGCTTTCAACGTGGTTACAGTGTCGGCTCAAGTCTCAGCTGCGTAAAAGAGCATCGGGAGAACGGTTGAGTCGAACAGGTGGGCACGAAGCTTCGAGTCCGTCAGTGGGTCGGTGACTTCCTTCAGAGGCCCGAAGGCGGCCTAGGCTGCTTTTCTTCTCCTGTTAAGGTTCTTCCTCAAGTCGTTCTCCATGTTCATTGAACGTCCGAGATACACGTAAGAAGACGTCTCCATGATAGGGGTGCCTTCCGATTCCATTTCTGCATCTTCGCAAAGGGCATTCTTCATAAACTGGGTCTTTTTCCAATTTATTCGCAATCCGATCTTCTTCCCTACTTCGTTTATTTCCTTCAGCATCTCTCTACTTCAGTAATACTGCTCGAAAAAAGAACGATGTCGTTCGCAAAACGAAGGTTAACAGGATCTCCCATCAACTCGTATGCCTCTTTCGTGCCAATCCAGTGAATTCATCACCCACTGCAAGGCCGCGGTGAACAGCTTCGGCAAGATTGTGACGTCTTGTCGAACGCCCTTCCCAATTGGAATGGGCGGGGGGCGATGAAATAGCTGCATCGTCGTTGTACAGTCCTTATAGCAGTCAACTAACGTCCTCACGTAGGGTGGGTCTACTCCTTGATCGACTAGCGCAGACAGAATGACGTTGGTTTCGACGCTGTCAAAGGCTTTTTCGTAGTCGACGAAGGTTAGGACGAGAGGCAGCCGGTATCTCGGCAGACTTCTACGACCCTCGAAACCGTCTGGATGTGGTCCACGCAGCTGAATCCTTTGCGAATTCCAGATTGCTCTTGGGGTTGCGCTTCATCCAATGTCCTAGATATGCGAGAGAGGATAAATAATCTTCGTGAAAAGCTTGTACAGCACACTCAGCAGGCATATTGGACTGTAGTTCCGAAGATCCTCCCGTTCGCCCTTCTGGAAAAGAAGAACAGTTCTTGATGTTCTCCACTGGTCGGGAATCCTCTCCTTCTGAAGGTAAGATGTCAGGTGCGACGCGAGAATCTCGTGTAGACGTTGTCCTCCGGCTCGCAGAAATTCGACGGAAAGATAGTGTTGTCCTGGAGCCGTGAATGTCTTCATGGGAATTCGTGGCGGTACTTCTCCAGCGGAAACAACGAGCACTGGCACGGGTGTTGATGAGCGGAAGAGGTTGGTGTAGAAGCTCTTTGCGATGGATTCCATCTTGTATCGGGAAGAAGTGAATCTCGTCTTCGTTCAATGGTGCAGCCAGCAGTACATGATATTCACAGAGATCCCTTCGGCACTTCTTAAGAATTTGTCTCGGCTGCTTCCAGTACCTTGGCTTGCCTGTATTTCCTGAGATCCTTCTGCAAAGCTGTTCTACAACTGGCGTTGCCTACCAGTCGCTCGAGAAGAGCTGCATTCGGTATCTGCCTTGAAATCTTCTTCTTTCGAGCAATTTCTTGGTGGTTTTCGAAATGCGTTCCTAGTTTTTCTTAGATACTGAGGTGCACTCTCCACAAGCTCGTAATCCTTTCAAAGCCGGTCGTAGTCGTACGTTGAGTCCTCCTCGATGGGCCAGTCACAACTTTATATGAGCTCTTCCAACCTGTTGCCGTCATAATCGACTTCCTTCCTTTTCGCGGCACTGTGAAAACTTTCTTTTCCAGCTTTCGACTGAATCGTATCTTCGCTCGAATGAGACGGTGTTCCGAGCCACTGCAGAAGGATGGAACCACTGAGACATCAAGCAAGCATCAAGCACCTTCGGTTGGTGAGAGTGTTGTCGATCTCCGCGTGAGTCGTTCCGTTGGGCAATTCCCAAGTCCACTGGCAATGCTCTTCCTTCTTGAAGATGGAATTTCCATGGAAAAGTCGTGCGGCGGAGAGAAGCCCAACGAGACAGCTGCCGTTTTCGTTCCGGAGCCCATATTTAAACTTCCCGATCCCTCTATAGTGGCAACCCGATTTTGCATTGAAGTCGCCCACAACATAGTTGTAAGAAGGACGTTTTTTCGTTGCGGACGACCTCCTTTACGTTTTCGTAGAAAGCATCTAGTTCTGAGTTGTTAGCCGCTGATATTGGAGAGTAGCAGTTGATGATGCTAATGTATTCTGACGTGGAGGGCGTAGTCGTAGGATGGCTAGCCGAAGTGATAGAATCTCATGCGAATTGACAAGATAAACGATAGATGGGTGGACGACAAAGCCAACGCCTCATTTCGTGACAGAACCTTTTCACCACAAATGATGAGGGTACCATCACTCATCTGTCGCACGTCCATCTTCCTGGACTACGTTTCCTGTAGAGCGACATGTGGTACTTGATGTGCTCTGCAGCGTCGAGAAGAGCGTAGAGGTCGGCGCTTGTGGAGACTATCCTGGCGTTGTAGGTATAAAGCATGAAGCAGTCTCCATGACGTGTCGTCCGGGGCGTGTCGTTTTTGTCCAATCCGAAAAGCGCTCTGAGCCCTGAAATCGTTCTTGCTACCACCCGGCGCCGTAGGCGATCCGATGTGCAGGGTTTATTTTTCTTCGTTTTGCTAATCGAGTAATAAAAATTTTTTCCCTACAAGAGTAGACTTGCTAGGCCTACTCTTGATTTCCACGGGGCGATCGCTGACCCCGGGCTTGGAGCGCGGAGAACCGCCTAGCGACCGAAAAAAGTCAGACGGCGGGGGATCTGGCCTGCCGGCTCTTAGCTAAGCTTCCGGCCGAAACCTAAACGTCAAACTCCTTCACCGCTTGGGAGGTTCTGCCAGGGTATACACAGGCTGTGGATTGCGAGTCGACACTCAGTGTCACCCCCACGCCACGATGAGGCGGCCGACCATTGTGGGGGAAGACGGACTAGTTTTGGGAAATGTAGTACTTCACATAAGTTTTCAAATCTTTTTGCACAATTCTTTTGCAAATAATTTTCTATGTATACAGCTCAATTTTGGTGTCATACGATTTTGTGTGCGCTGTAAACAAGCAAATTTTTCATTTTAGCCTTGCTTTCCAATCGCGCGCACTTTTCTCTATACAGATAGAGCATGTCATTCGTGAGATAACCTGTCTGAAAAGCTTGTATTCGACTAAATGGCGCTTATTCTTGATGTCAGGCCCCGACCCGTCAAAAAACGATATCTCCTTTGCTTTTTGTTCCAGAAACGAAGTCCATCCTGCTTCCAGACTATCTGTGCCGGGCCCTGATTGCAGTTCTCGTCCATTTGTCTTACAGCAGTCTTCGTGAAATCTAACACTGGTCAAATTGCAGTTCTTGTTGTCTCGTCCATTTGTCCTATGGCAGTCTTTGTAAAGCGTGACACCGGTCGCATGGCAGTTCTCGTTTGATCGGAGACAGGGCGAATTGCTGTTTTGGTGAAGTCAGCACCGCCACCGGGTTTGACGGCTCCGATTGCAGTTCAGGTTCCACTTCTGTCGTTCCACCTACTTTGCCGCCGCTAGTGGGGCGGAAAGGTAGGGGTAACTCAAAACTGCGATCGAAATCTTATGGCAACTTACGAGAAGTACCCTCCTCCTCCACAGCCGCCACCACCATATCCTCCTAGCGTGAAGCCACTATGAGGTCTGAATTTTACGTTTTCATTTTTTTCGCTACAGAGTCATGTAAAAACCGACCCTCCTTCGCCACCGCCACCACTGGCTCCTGGCACCATGTACTGGCTAACGGCACCACCGCCGCCACCGCCTCCATTACCGCCGCTGAAATTAGTCTTGTAAGTTAATCAGTGTATTCGGTCATGTTCTTTACAAACCATACCCTCTTCCAACGCCGCCCTCCGCCGCCTCCAGCTCCTCCGGCTTCTTTAAATGCTTCCGGCATGAAGTATACGCTTTGCTCCTCCTTTGAAGAAATGATTTAGCGGCTCAGTTCCATCTGCAAACCATAGGCTTTTTCGAACAGCGCATCTTCAGGGGTTCGAAAAGTGAAGACTCACGTCCGAAACGCCATCGGCTCACCCCCTCCGCTGCCAGAGCTCCCGCTCGATCTTGTCATGAAGTATACGCTAGTCATCTTTGAGTTGTAAGTCCACCGGACAAAGACCTGCTTCAAAGAATTAACTACCCCAAGGCATGGATGTAGACCATAGATGAAAATAATATGTCTATCGTAATTGGTTAGAGCCCTCTCATCCGGTAGATAGGTACAGTCGGTGAGTGTCCCCCAAAACGCAGAGATGGTCTGTTCATTGACTTCACTGACTTTTTTATAAATGACTGAATTCGCACGCGAAAATTGTGCTATGGCTGCTTGAACTCACTCTTTAGTGGGCAAGTAAATGTTACGCAACAGTCTGGGAGCAAGTTCAGGACTTTGATCACCCGGGTCTAACCGAAATGAGAGCATTGCGTCGCCAGTTAGAAAATTTGAACATGCGTTGAGTACGTGCTTCTGAACTTGGTTTAATCAAATGACCCATACTTGATAAAGTGCACATATGCTTTGAAAGCTTTTGCACAGTTCTACTGTCTTCCTTGTTTCGATTTTCCCTACTAATTCCAAAAAATTCAAAGCGGCAAATTCAAGATTTAGAAAAGAGTCCAGTGTAGGTTTCTTGTTTCTGTGTACACATTTCCAACTTGATCAGAAACCTTATTAAGGAACAACCAACTAACTGACCTTTCAAAGGTATCAGGACATTTTTCGGGAGAAGGAAAAGAAGCAAAAGAGGTCTTTCGAACGAAGGGTGGCGTTCAAATTTCTGGCAGGCTTGGGCGCTCCTAAAAAAACCATACAAGGCTAATCCTTTGGAATTAGAGAAATACATCAATTATTCACAAGAGAAACCAATTTCTTGCACGGTATTCTACTAGCGTAAATTACCTTCAAGAGATCGACGACCCTTTTGGGAAGATGGTGTTAGTCAATCTCCATGCCCCTCCCGTTCCGCACTTGTAAGTTGCCATTTCACCAGCTAATGCCATTTTCAATTGCGAACGGGGTTAAGTGAAAATAGGAGGCCGAGGTTTGAATACAGGCCACTGCTTCTGAATGTTTATGTGAAACGATATCCCTTTTAAGCCTCTACTCAGGTGGAAAGAGTGTGGGTGGTGTAGATTAATTTATGCGCGATATCATAAAAAGCTAGGCCCCATAGCTGAAGGGATAGCCCTAGCGGATGCCGGAGAACATTTAAATTACGTTGTGAAGTGAACCAGGAGGAAAGTCGTGTTGAGATTGACCAGTTCTGCTACCAAAAAAGTGCCATTTCTTCAGTGGTCGTATCAATCAACGAACCCAGTGGGTTTTAGAATCCATTGGGTTCGCGAACCCAGTGGGTTCCGTGGGTTTGCGAACCCACTTGGTAAGATCGGTATTACATGTGCCCCGCTGGGATCGCCAACCCATGACGCCACCAATATGCCTCCTCTGGTCGGTGTACTGTTTTCCTCATTTTCCCACGCACAGGGATCGCGCTAAACTAAAAGCGTCAGCTTGACACGCTTTCGGAAACGCTTACGTTCGGATGGATGACATGAATCAATGTCTCTTGTGCGACAAAACTTGCATTTCCCTTCTTCTGTATTTTATTCAAGTATTCTTTCGGATCCAGACATGACTGTCGACAAGGATATGTGTGGAAATGGATCCAGAAAGAGGATTTTACTCCTTTTTTTGTTCTACTGACCTTTCTTTTTCTTACCTCACAAGGAAGATATCAGCCATAGTTTCAACAACTGTTACCTTGCAAGGAGTAGCTAAGTTTGTTTCGTAGATGTTTTTACTATACACACAAGTAGATTTGCGCCCTTTTTCGAACTACTTTCGAGCGGATTTTCATCAGTGACAATGCGCGTATTCGCATGAAGCACTCAAGTCTTGGAATGGTAGGGTGAGTACGTTTTCCTCAGACTGGAATGTGCAAAGAGATCATCGATAGAGTTATAATCTCTGTGATGTTAGCTAATAGGTGATTATGATTACTACTTGTTCCCTTTCCGCTGGTTTTCATTATACAGATTAAGAAACAAACGTTTTTGATCAAAACCGCTTTTTTTCTTTTTCTTGAATCGTTTGTCTGCTGACTTGATCGGAAAGGAGAGCAAGATTTTTTTTATTTGAGGAATAAACAAACATAGACAAAAGTGGACAATAGGCAACAAAATACATGAAAACGAATGCAGGCAGATCTCTGCTTCCTATATGAGGCTCCCTCTGTAGTCGTAGAAAAAAATCAGAAAAAATTTTAAGGTAGCTCGAGCAAACATCAGCAAGTGCTTAGGCTCTTTACAGTTTGATGCAATCTCCGTTAAGCTTGTTGCGACTTCTCAGAGACTGCCAAGTTGTGACCTGCATCAAGTTTAATCAAAATTTACCTAACAAAATTCCTCTCAGTTGTGAAGAATATCGGAAGTGTTTCTAATGTATAGATTTGCTAACAATAACACTCCTGCTAGTAAAAGTCTCCATAATATTCAGCAAAGGGACCGGATTCGCATGTAACCCGCTAAGGAATTTGCACCGTGCTTGGGTTCGCCAACCCAGCGCTCAGTGGGTTCCGGAACCCACGATGGGTAACTTGCTTCGTGAATACCGATATGCTTGACTTTTAAGTTCGCAAACCCACTGGGTTCCTTCGTGAATACCGGTTAAGTGGCTTTTTGTGGTTCCGGAACCCACTAGTTTCGTGAATACCGATTGTGTGTTGAGCCTACCCAATAGGCTCTGGAACCCACTGGGTTCATTAATGAATTCGGCCACAGAAGTGCACGTTGTTTTCGGCACTTCTCCTAACCCTTTAGGAAAAACGAACCTCTTGTTCAGAAACTGCCTTCAGAGGACAAGTAAACTCAGACTTTTGCATCCGAAAACTGGGGACTTTGATTTTTTTTGTTCATGTCCAAATTTTTCTTCTTGAGTCATTATCAGCGCTTGAACATTCAGGAGTTTTCGATAAGTACTCTAATTTCACTCGTAAAAGCCGCATTTCGGTTTTTCAGACGTGCCGCTCAGCCGCCTCGTTGTGTTTCGGAAAACGAGACTTATGCCGCACGATACTCTCAGGCAATATACAGCGCTGTAAATAATTTTTTATTCGCGAAGTCCTTCGGCGTGTCTTTGCTGCTCGATTCTGGAAAAAATCCCCTGCGGCTTATACGCGTGAAATTAGGGTAGTTCTAAAAACGAACACTCCTTGCGATCACATAAAAAATATTTTATACATGTATAAAAGGAATGTTTTTCGAAATCAAAAGCATATGAAAGCCTTCGTAAGATTCGTTGCACAGATATAAAGAAATAGAGATAAACGCATTTCAGCGGAAATATGGTTTTTTTTTCTTAGTTTGACTCTCAAAGGAGCATAAGTGATCGGTACTAATCTGGAGAGAAAGTGACCCATAAGCCGAAAATGGCAGTATATCCTATAAAATACGCATTTCAAGTCGAGCTAAGCTGGGTCCGACTCCGGTTTTGGACTTGACATATCCTTGGACTTTCGACGAAGAATGTTACTGAACATTGAATGGAATCGGCTCCTTCTGCAAAATTTGAAATTCCGTTGAGGATCATAATGTTGCTGATGATTGGACCTTGTTGGTGGACTATCTGTATTTTCTTCCATTGACAGAGCATGGCTGCTCTCACTTGGCTCTTCACATTCTTCCACGGTAGAAGGAACTTGCTCGGGGATTAGTGACAGCCTGAAAAAGTGGTTTGAAAAAGGTTATCAGATTGGTCAGACCATGATCCATTTGAAAAATACACGTTTTTTTTTCAAAACGTATTTGTTGATTCTCAGTTCTTAAGATCCAGCCAGACACATAGATTTTCAAATCAAAAATATTAATATTCAAAGTTTATAAGATTCGGTTGTTGAGTTGAAGAAGCTCGTGATTACTCTAAAAGCTCGCCTCTCGCAAATTCGGATGACTGGATCATACAGATTCTGCCTTTGAAAAGTCTCTCTTCTTTTTTTTTGAAAAACTCTCTTTGAACAAGAAGTTTAGTTTTTTTCATTTGTTGCTAGACGCCTACTCAACTAATTTGATAATTTAGAAAAAAGTTCAGGCGTATTCGCCCACCTGGATCTGAATCGCACTGAACTATCAATAGGGCTTGCCTGCCCCAGCGCTATGCGATCTTCCAGCTCTTCGAGAGCCTCTATGTCGACAACAGATGGCCGTGATGGGGAAAGCCGCAGTCGACCCAGACCTGAATTGAGTCCACTCCTATCAGTGCATAAGAAGAAAACTCCTGGAGCTTACTGGAATATCCAGGTTGAAGTGTTTCCGGCAGTTCTAACCGTGTTCTTTGGAAAAGGTTCGCATCAAATGACTTTGAAATCACTACCTAGACAACTCCGCTAAAATCTACAAAAGGTTTTTAACAGCAGCAGAGCTTACATGGCTATTGCTCTCATCGCTTGAAGAAGTGGTTGCGCCAGAATTCTGGCTGATACCCGATTCTTCCCGAACAAGATCGGTAAGTACTAGAATGTCACCATCTTCAGTATCGACCATCTGCATGACGTCATCTATGGACAGGGTGCGAGGCAAAAATCGCATCCTGGAAAGATTTCAAATTTGTTTGAAGACAGTAATTAGGCAAATGTTGGTACGATTTTTATGTAGATAGATGGAAGGCACTGGCTAAGCTAGTGTTCAAAGGCAGCTATGAAATTACAATGACAGAAAAACGCAATTTTCTGAATTTTTGCCGCAATTGGTATTCAAAAGCTCTCAAATTACGTAGTGGACATATTCGAGCCTATCAGTGGCGTACCGAGGGGAGGGGGGGGGGGGCGGGGGGGGGGGGGAGCGCTCCCCTTCTTCCCCTCCCCCCCCCCCCGAGAATGGATCGCGAAATTTTTGAAAGTTACCTAAATGTGTTATAAAAATGTGCAGAGGACTTGTTTTTACTTGTAGATAATTTAAGTAATTCTTAAAAATTTTTAAAAAGTCAAATTAATCTTGTAAAAAATATTTTCTCGGGGGCGTGGCTGGGAAACATCCCAAAAAAATTTTCGGAGTGTGTGGCTGACGCCACGCACCTTCGTTAGAAAAAAATTTTTGTCGCGACCCCCTCCCCGAGCCGAAATCCTGGGTACTCCACTGGAGCCTATAAGTGGTGTTCAAGCAGAAGTGGAACGAGACTTTTTCAATTGGGGGTTTTAAGAATGTGTAGTTCAAGGGGCAGCTAGTAAATCACTCGTGACTGAATCATTTCAACTTTCTAGAGGCTCGCCCAGTACCGTATACTGGACTCGCACTCTGAAACGTTACAGCACTAGACGATAGCCCAACGTTGGTTCCTGTGCCAGGAGTGAAAAATGCGAGTGGCGAAAATCCAAAAATTTTCTGCTGTAATACATACATATACAGTATCGCTTACATTTAAAAAAATACGCGAATGTCGCATCATGTATGAACATCACCGTCGCGTGGCCATATCTCGCTTCAGAGTGGACGCATTCTGCATCTAAAGCCACAATTCGACTCAGCTCGGGCGGCATCTTCAGATGTACAGGAGTGTCCACTTGGACACAGTAGGAGGAGGTCAGATTCTACCATTCCAGATTGCTTGGTAGGTTAAGTGCAGTGAATAAGCACACTGGGTAACCTACCGTAAGCAAGAATTCGAAACGATTCGTGGAATCTAGCCTCCTCTATGTTCAAGCAGGGACTTCTTTACATCAGAAGAGGCGCCGCGCCGAGCTGAGTCGAACGGTGGCTTTAAATGCAGAATTCGTCCACTTTAAAGCGAGATATGGCTACGCGATGGTGATGTTCATACATGATGCGACATTCGCGTCTTTTTTTCAAAAAATTTGAGCGTAGCTGTAAATTGTAGCTGTAATACAGGGTGTCCCAAAAGTAAGTACACACTTTTCAATCGTTAATATCTCTCTTCTCATTATCTTTTTTCGCCTTTTGAGTACCATTGTTATAGAGGAGGCTTCAATTTAGATTCACGGTATCGGCAAATGACTGATTGCTCTTCATTACTGTAGGATTACTGTAGGAATTTCGACAAGGATTTTAGGTCACCAAAAGCCATATTCTGCCTGGGAACAAAACCAAACAAGCCAAAAACTCTTATACCATGGCAATGGAAGCCGCTGATTTCAAATATGAAATTTCCATTTTGCTGTGATGCTTCTTTCCATAGTTATCCCGGGCAATAATCGAATTCCCAGTATTTGTCAGAAATGTATTATACCGTCAAAAAAGCTGAAAATACTCGTAGGAAGTTGTGCAATGGAATTAGCGTGCGCGAAATCCCCCATACACGATTTTTCAGATTTTTTTGAAAAAAATGGATGCGATAATTCACAATGGGTTCCACATGTTGGAAGTTCTTACCGTTATCCTACAGTAACGAAGAGCGATCGGATTCATTCAATACTGTAACTCAATTGAAGCCTCCTCTCAGATTAGTACTTGACTGGCAAGAAAAGACCCATTGGGAACAGAGATACTGGCGATTGAAAAGTGTACCATATGATTTAACTGGCTTGGCTTCGGGAAAGCGGGGCTTCGTGACCTTATTAAGGCTAGGTAATGATCAGAAAGCACCAGCGCGAGAGAGACGCAGATGCGTCGCTGGCGCGAGCGGCTTTGCTTAGGTCAGAAGGCCCCACCTTTTCGAAGCCAAGCCAGTTGAATCAAAGGTTACTTGCTTTTGGGACATTGCTTTATTTTGATGAAAAAATTACCTCGAGTTGGACACGGCCCTACAGATATGAGAATTCGTACTGCTTGGCGAAGGAAACGACAACACTGTCTGGCAAGTTTTATTAATTTTTTTCTTATTAGCCAGTGCTGCTTGCACGGCTTCCTTATTCAATGAGTGCACAGATGATGACGATCGGAACACACCTAAAGCAGGAAATACCGTAATCACTGCTACAGTTTGGGTATACGGTACCTAAACTGCTGCCGCGTCGCTGTGGCCTTCCCGGGTCGAGCAAGGCTGCTTCCAATTCTTCTAATTCTTGCATACGACCGGCATCATAGGTTCTTTCCAACTTTGCCTGAAAAAAAATAATTTCGTGGACAAACGCAGGGGGAGGGAAACGCTCAGCTTATCTCTTTTTACCTGGATTAAGTTGATGCACATAGAGACTAGAGAGAGCCCAATGATAATATAGATAAACAACATTAGCAGATATTTGGGCTGTGTCGGTGTAATGTCACCCAAACCGATTGTGCTGCAATGGTCAACATAGGTATTGATCAATCAAAAATGTATCAACTGACCTCAGAGAGATAAAGAAGAAGTAAAACGCAACAAAATAGTCCCAGTCATGTTCCCATATGCAAAACGTAGCCGAACAAATAAATATCCAAGCAATCACAACAGATATGGCAATGGGGATGGGTAGATCAAATATTTCCAAGTCTGGAGCAAAATGGTTAGTTAAAAATATCGGTATCAAGCAAATTACCTCGCTTGTCCTCTGCGTCTAATTTTTTGATTTCTGCCATAGTTTGCTTTGTGCAATAGCGAAACATTCGTCGACAACCACATTTGATCAGCCACCATGGCGTTTTGAGGCATTTTGTAAGGAGCTTTCCTGGAAAAGTTATAGATTGAAAGGCTTAGTAGGAGGAGCATGCTCTTTTAGAATTGGTCGCTTTGACCTTGTACTTTCTTGTTTGTAAACCGGGCCTTTCAACCCACAAACAAGGCATAAGAAAGCAAACCATTTGAAGAGACTTGGCACCAAACAGTGCGGAATGCCAGAGGAAAAGGGGACTTTAGCGCTCGTTTCAATAAGTGCTATAGCTAGCATATGCCAAATGTAAAAATCATTTTGATCTCCAGAAGAAATTATTCTCTAAACAACACTGGAATGCAGCTTGTTTTTTTAGGAAAGAAAGCTAGGTGCCTCAAAAACTTAGCAAATGTTCTCAGAAAATCAACAAGGATGGAACGGCCTTAATTTACGACATTCTGTTGCAGAGAACGAAAGTTTCAAAAAGCAAGTACGGAAAGGACATAAAATAGGATTCCAAGACAAAATTTTGTCGTGAAAGGATAGTTGTTGTTACTGATGGGGTTACCCAATCATTCACATTCTCTTACTGCCCCTGAACTCCCACATCATACCACTTCATCCGTTATCACCACTCTTCTTTTTCCTTTACATATATGACTTCTAAGACTAGCTGATGCATGCATCAGCATAAATTTTGGTAGACACGAACGCTGCTGATTCTATTCCGAGCAATTGCCAAACGGTAATTTATCATTGTTTCCAGCCAGTGTTTCCCAGAGGGATTGTATGACTACTATGGATTTCTTCTCCTAGTTGACAGAGTTCAGTTGAGGGGTTAAGTTGATTATAACAATTTTGTGCAAAATGTATAAAAATTGGTATTTTTTTCAAATTCTGAGGCTTTTTGAGCTCACAAAAAGCGCAGAGTTTGATTTTGCTTAAGAAACTAAGCGCAGATCTTCTACTTGAAAGAAAAAAAAACCAAATGATTCTTTCTGAAGCCCTTTTGAAGCCCTTGAAGATTGGAGACCAAGTCCGTCTGCAATCTCAGCTAGTGGCTCATCGCTCATTGAGGTTGGGCCACCGCAGCGATAATGCTGCCGAAACGTCTGTGGACATTGATGGGTGTAGGCCCTTTTGGACCCGAGGCGTCGCGCGCGACGCTCGTCTCGCCGCGTGCGGCGCCTCTGGCAAAGCTAACAAGTGGCATTTGCAGTCAACGGGAAAATTCTTAGTTCGAAGTATATAATATACCTGTGCCAAGACTTATTATCATGTTAGACACGAAAGATGTAGAAAAATGAACGAGTATTAACTCGTTATGGCAGTGGACATGTTGACCAATCAGAGGCGCGCTGTGATAGCGAGCGGTTCAAAAGGGCCGTTTCCCGACATTGATAGACAAAGGGCAAGTGGATGGGATTTTGAGAATTATCCAACTGGGATTGGGATAATGCACGCATTGATTCGGAACAAAAAAGATTTCCGCTCTGATTTAGTCGGAAAAGATTTGAGCAGAACTCCCCTTAAAAGATGAATAGATAAGTCGATATACCAACAGAATCTAGTGCAGTTAAGTTAAAGAGATGCAATTTTGTTTAAGTAAATTTACCGAGGTCGTCCAATATTGACAGGACCAGCGGAATTCCAAAAATTGCATAAATCATGGTAAATACTCGTCCGGATATTGTCGACGGGTACAAATGACCGTATCCGATTGTTGTGCAAATTGTCTGGAACAATTTTTTCATGAATCAAAATTATAATTATAGATGACTATGTACCCACTTGCGCATAGAGCATAGCATTCCAAAAATCCCATTTGATTTTCTGATCCGTATACTTGATTCCTAATTGTTTTTCGTAGCGCGTAACTTCAGCATGAAGTTTCGCGGAAACCTGAGGAAAAGAAATGCGATCAAACCAAATCCAGTTAGATTTAATAATTTGACTAACCTCATTAGTCTGTTCCTGTGTGAGAAAAAACAAATAGTCTGTGTTATTGAACATCAATGGAATAATGTCGAAGACAAATTTTGTTCGATTTTCAGCTATTCTGTAAAAAAATAATATGTGTATACTAGCAAAATCGTAGTATAAATTGGACAGCGAAAAATTTATTTCTGTATTCAAGAATTTGCAAGCCAAAAATTTTAGGAAATATTTGAGAATAGAGACAAGTGAGTATGATTATTTATTCCTTTATTCTAAATTCGGTAAGGTTAGAGACTTCTAAATTATGTAAAGATGATTTCCTCACCTCATATTCCATATTTTCTCCTTTGATTCATCGAAACCCGCTTCACAAAAATAAAATACACCGGCGCCAATAAACTGATAAATAATAAGAATTGATATCAAACAGATGTGCTTGAGCCCGTAATCGTGGTAAATCTGAAGAAAATCGCATTAATCACCATTTCCATTTATGATATATTTACCGTTTTCAAAATTCGCAACCATCTCGGCACTTTGCGAACTTTCTTGAATGTTTCGCAAACATCTTCTCGTACATGCTGAGCCTAAAAAATGTGGAAAAGCTATGAACAGCCACAAATGTAGCAGATTTTAAAACGCTAATACTTTTTGGCATAATTTGTACATACTTGTTAGTCCTGCATCAATCCAAGGATTTATTAGGTTGGCACGAAAGCTCTGCCACAGCATTCGAGTAGTTCTAACTCCTCATGTTGTGTTATTCAAAAGAAAAAATTATAAGATTGTAAGAGCAATTCAGCCTTACCACAAAAGTTGTGAAAATGAAAGTGAACAAGAAGACCATTTACTCTTTGGAAATAGAATATAAAATATGGCAACTTGCAGTCCTGTGAATTTATAGTAAGTAATTGTTTCAATCAAAGATAAGACCCAGGTTTATGCCAAGTGAGCTTAGGATTATTCAGAATTATGAATCGAGAAAAATGCTATAGATGCGAAAAGGAAAAGGACTCATGTGAAAGTAGAATGATCAGTATTGTAAGTTCTACAGCTGATCTGCAAAAATGGAAAAGCAGATTTCGCAGGCACTTGATGAAAATGTTAGAAATGATGCGACAGAACCTTCCTGCCCAATCTAGAAATTAAGAGGCAATGAATTATGGGCCATCTATATCTAATTTTTTCTATGACTGATTATAAACGATAGTTCATTTGCATTACTTATGTGATGATAAAATAATTGTAACAGAAAAAAAAAACTGTAATGAAACTTCTAGCAGTTACTAATTTAAGTTTCATAACTACTCTACAGATACAAAAAAGCAGAGACCTTTCAGTACTTTCAGTATCTTGATTGTTGTGCAAAGCTTTGATTAGAACAATATAAAGTTCTAATTTTTAATGCCTAATCGATTTTTTTTTGTTTTCAAAGGCCGAGAGCGAACAGCAGGCAAGAACAAATAAATACAATTTCAATAACTAATAGCAATCAAATCGTGTCTTACCCCTTGTCGAAATGACTGTCGAACTCGTGAAAGCCGTGACAAATGCTGTCCTGGCACATTTGTCGATCGCCTCATCACCACTTGTTTAGCAACAAATTTAATTCAGCATCAGAGTCGTTTTTGTGCTGTCGGAATGACGAAGATGAACCGCGCAAAACTTAGATGAAACCTCTTTTTTCTGCCTGAAAAAACAAAATTTGGATATAATTTGGCTCCTTGCCAAGAGCAGAGTGCAGGAAATGGTTTATAGCATGATTAAAACGTACTGAAACAATCTCTGAAAGCGATGAAATCCGCACCGACCTCCTCTACGGTGCCGATTGGCCGGGCGGCCCAAGCTGGTCCGCCGGGGATTCCCCGGGGAGCGGCTGGCGTCACCGTCTCAACGACGATGGATGACCCCGCCATTGATGCTATGCTTGTTGAATTGCTATTCACATGCTTATCTCCGTCGAATTGCAGATGTGCGTTCCGTTCCGCTACTTCTTCCAGCAACTGCCAATGAAGAGACTAGGGAAGGCGCATTTGAGCGGACGGAGGTCAATTTTACAACCTCACTATATGCTGCATATCTCATTCCGCGTGTAGGATAGACAACTGTTGGAAAATAACAAAATTATCCCATTAATTATTTTCCCTAAAGGCAGCATTCCGGCAAAATTGGAAAATATTGATATCAATGTACAGTAGGCTCTTCTCAAATATTAGGTTGTTGCAAAAATAATGTCCGTTTTGCAAATTTTCAGTTTGGAAGGCTATAACTTCGTTCAGTCTTTATATTTTTGAATGCAGTCAAGACCATCAGAAACACCAAACCTTTCTTAACTTAGCGAGCCCCTGCTCATACTGATATCGCAAACTGGAAGAAAACCATGCGTCAGAAAACTGAAAGTTTTTCTCTTGAAAATCTCGTCTTCAAGAGCTTACAGCTCCTTCAAGGTTTGTCCCTATGTCTGCTAATCAGCTTATTTTGTAGTCGCAGGCCAATAGTATAGGTGTGTATAGAAAAAACTCCAACGAAGGAGTTCTGCGAAAAGAAAAGATAAAAATTCAAAAATGTTCACTCTTTTGAGCCTATTTGTTATAAGCTTGTAAGTGCCTAATTATGAAAATTTGGAATTCTTCGCGCACTGAATAGCTAAGTTTCTCTTCAAATAATGTAGTTAAGGTGTGCTAATTTCAAGCTTACAGAAATGGGCGAAGCTTTGGCGATTGCCTTAATTATGAGAAATTTCTGACCCATAGAATACCAGCAGCGAGTGTCTATTTTGACGCGTCAATTTCTCAGTCCATATTTCTCCAAAAATCTACATAAGTACGCAATAGGTAAACAATCTTCATTCAATACACTTGCTATGTTTTCAGAAGAATTCGTCTGCTTGCTCCTGAATTGTGGTCAAGAAAGTGGAAGCCATGAGATTCTGATTTTGAGTGCGGATGTGAAAAATGCTGGTGAAATTCTCACAAGTGAAAATAGCTGCTTAGTTTCACCGCCATGAGAAAGTACATGAAGAGAGCTTTCCAATGATATGCAGACGCTACATCGAAAAAGAAAATCTGATGGGAAAAAAGTTGTTTGGAATATAGGTCTAGAAAAACGGACATTATTTTTGCAACAACCTAATAATTTACCGGATTCCGCAGAACAAGTAAGATCTGCAGCGGTTCCACAGGATTTTACCTGCTATTACGTAGTTGAAAGCGCTAAAATGGGTACTTCCGCAGGATTTTCACGCCAGAGTGGACTTTTTACAAAACGTTGCGAAATTCCGGAAAACTGCCATTACTTCTGCAGGTTTCTGAAAATGTGTTGTTCCTTACGATGTTGTCACGCAAACAAATAGGTAAAGTGCATTGTCGAACATGTCATACGTAGTGCAGAGGATAGCGAGTGAGTCTTGCAGTCAATAGGGCAAGAATCAAATCTCTCTCAGGTGTTCTCTTCCGCTATTGTGGTTCGCGTTCTTTGCAACTTCCGCAGCAACTCATTTGGAAACTTCCGCAGATAATCCGACGGAGTTTTCCGAATGTTCTGCAGAATTTACTGTCGTTTGTCTGAGTTACTTCCAAGCATGTTCTAGATTTCTTTTAAGGGAAATGATCTGCAGACGATTCCTCAGCAATTGCCCAATCACTAACTCAATTGATTCATTCATGGAAAATAGATTCAACTTTGAACTCTAGCCCACACCGTATTTCTACCGTCCTCGAGGATGCTGATTGGTCCGCTCGGAGAGATCAAGACGCTTTGCAGTTTGTCCTAGAACTGGTTTCTCTCTCTAGCTATATAGAGTCAGAAAAAAGCTAAAGACAGTTTTTAGCTTTATAATTACGGTCTTGATCTAATGTTCAAAGAATCGTTAGCTCAATTTAAAAATCTTCAAATAGCGGGAAACCAAGGCGGATCCCGAAGCGAACGCTCTTGCAAATAGCACCTCTAGATTACTGGTTCACTAGTATGAAAAAAGTAATTTGCAAGTAAAAAGTAATTTAAAAGTAAGAGTAAAAGTAATTTCGAAGTAATTTGCAATAATACTATGGTGTTTCTCATACACAAACCCTGAAAAATATTCGAGCATTTATTTCCATCAATTTCAAATACCACAATACCCTGCTAATACCCTGCTTATACACTACTATCACATCAGTTCTGACATTGTTATATCTTCAGATCATGTTTTTTATGAAATAGTAAAAGCAGATTTTTTCACTATGACCCTTCCGGTACTAAGTCAACCAATTTTTTTACATGTTGGATCATTGTAATCCCGGCAAATTTATTTTTGTTAATACATGAATTGTTTGTTACCAGCTTAACCGAATAAATGCAATTTTGTGGACTTTTTTCACAAAACCAAATAGAATCTTCATTTAGCAAATACCCAGTACAAGTAGAATTTCTGAAAGTTATATAGATACGTATTTGTTCAAAGACTAGTAAGCAAGTTGAGATCAAATAGCGTTAATCTTGTATGTTAGTAGTTGAAAGCAAGCCGGTCGATTATTGTTTACAACTTTCTTATCAATTTATCTGTTTCTTTAGAGTCTTGTCTTATATCCGAATTGGAGGTGTGCGATGGTCTGAAAAATAATGAAATTTTCGCACAGCATAATATGGCATGGTTGAGAAAGAAATTTTCAAGAACAAATTCTCAGTATCTGCTAGAATGGGTTTTTATAATGATGGATGCACTTACGATTGATCTGCTTTTTTGAAAGTCCTATCTGCTCCTCCAGATTCGCGTTCCTCAACCTGAAACGCGGTATACTTCAAAAATAGTATTGTCCAAGGAAACCCCTGATAACCACATACCTTGCACACCTGGTAAGTCTGCGCTTCAGGTAAATGAAACCCTATAACAAATTCATATAACCAAGCACCAAGTGCTGCTCCAATCATAGGGCATATAATCGGAATCCAAAAATAGCCGTATTCATTATAACTGCAAAACATTTTCGTAGAACAAGAATTTTGAATTTGTTTTCTTCTACCTGAAAGTTTCCCACCCATATCCTACACACAATGTGAGCAGTCGTGGACCAAGGTCACGAGCGGGATTGATAGCATAGCCTGGAATTTTCCCAGTTGTGCGATAGGGGGGGGGGGGGGGGAGGAGGCAGAAAATACAGTATAGCATACCGCAGTTGTGAGCAAATGCTGTGCCAATGCCAACGAGTAAAAAACCTATGCAAGCTGGCTGGAGAAATGGTGGAATCCCATTGCGCTTGTCAGTAATTGTGGCTACACCCAGGCAAAGTATGGCCGTGCCAAAAATCTTAAATAAGTTTTATTAGAATACTGCTAAGAGATCACTCCACCATTACCTGATCGACGATTCCTCCAGCTATGGTTAGGTAAGGTTTTGGGTAAGTAGCGAAAATTCCAGCAGTGGCGAACATTCCCTTTACTTGCCGTTTTCCACCGTCGAAGTGATTGATACCATCTGAAGCAAAAACTTAGACAGTTTGGTTGAGAACGCGCAGAAACTTCCCAACATAGGCTTATGACCTACCGTACCAGAGAACGAAAACGCCTAGGGCTCCACAGAATGCACCGGCAGTTTGCGCAATAGAAAAGATTACAAATCTATAAAAACAAAATCATCGTTTATAATAGGCGCTCACAATCTCACTTTCGAAAAGTGATTTTCTTCTGAGTAAAAAGGAAAAATGACACGGCTGGATTGAGGTGGGCACCTGGAATACATCATACAATTCTTTTTCATCAAATACCCAGATAATCGTCCGAGGTAGGAGGGCCAAAAAATTTTACATTCTGACTTCTCACACTCTGCAGGCAGACATTCAGACAGACCGGAAGTTCCGCTATTCAATAAGTCTGGCTACAGATCTCTACGGAAGTTCCCATAAACGCTCAAATTTCTGTGATAATAAACAGAATCCTTTGGAGTCGCTACAATTTTTTGTCTTGTGGAAGTTACGGTGAATTGTTTGAATGTGTAGAAAACGGTATACCAGTTCTGCATAGCCACTTGTTGACCTCTTTCTTAATCCAACTTTTGCACACAGATTGCTGCTTATTCAAAGGAAGAAGACAACAAGCCGCTTCGAATAGACGGGTAATCACATCCCTAGCAATATGTAAGCCGGGTGCCAGAAATTAGTGATGTGTTCATGCCCTTTACGCTTGGGAACTGTCTGATCAGGCTAACACCCACCTGAGATTCGGATACTCATTTGTACAGACATCCATAGAGCGACACCCCAGGATATTGTCAAAGCCACCCATTCGTTCGTCATCCGATTTGAAACTACCAATTGTGCAACTGAACTATCGCCCCAGAACTAAAAATATAAAAAACTAGATACAGTATTGAAACTTGTTCAGGGTGACGTTATGTTACCAATAGAAGCCCTGTGCAGAAGAATTCTGCTAGAATCTCTTTGAAAAGTTGGTTTTCTATGCCAAAACGATGTCGAAGTTTTTCCATCATGCTTTCTTCCTAGAATAATATCAATGCTTCGATAATTGTAAAGGAATGGGAAAGTGCATGTAGTCAATACGCTTGTATAGCTAATCATACCATTCTGGGTGTTGAGACTGGGTGACAATACATATGAAGAACGTTTAGCAGACACTGAACGCTGATATCTAATCAGCGTTTCATGTCTACCAAACGGTCTATATAAGTAAGACTATTGTTTATGACGCAGTAGTGGATTGACCCCTTTCGTAAGCGAAGACAGCAACAATTCAGCCAGTTAAATACCTAGTCAAGGTTAGACCAAACCATCTTTCAGTTCCTCTTCTTATCAAGCCAATAGATGTACTAATACACCGGCTTGCCGCAAAAGCACGGTCAGACTTGAATTGAACCACGAGTTTGAAATTGATCTGTGCCGGTTCCCGTTGTTTAGTGGAAAAGAATCACTACGGATTCTACCTCGCGCATATCATCATTATACGTCATTGAGCTGATTTCAAATCTACCTTTCTTATCTGCTAAGAGCTTCTCTAGAAGAAGCCATGGGCGATTAAATACGTGGAGTTATTAGGCGCAATGTTCTTTAAAAACCAGCTTGGTGATTATTTGGCATGATTTTGAGTGCACTGACTACAAGTGGGCGCATGGGTGGATCTAATGATATGCATATCATTATGGTTTGCCACTGCAATTCTTCCCTTGTTAAAAACTACAGTATTATGCCTACTGAGTGTGGAGTACAAGCTTTTCAGCAAATATAGCCGATCGCGCATCAGGAAATTGGATGATGCCAGACCCCAGGACCGCAATTCGCAATTTAGCTGCCCGGACCACATCAAGACGATTTGCAGGCCTTAGAAGGTTCGCCGGGGATGATGTCTACACACCTAACCCTCATCGACAAAGAGTAGCTTTTGACAGCTTCGAAAATGATGTCATCCTGTCAGCATCGATTAAGGACGAACCTGGCCTATGTGAGGAAATTGGCAGATTGCTGCAAGGATTGTGCAACAACGATGCAGCTACTTTATACCCTTCTGACCATCCCATCGAGAATCTGACAGGACGTAATCTTGATCATAGGTGCGATAGGGGGAGCCGGGCTCTCCCCAGGTGAAGGGGGTCTCGGCTGTTCCCGACCTTCCAGGGTGAAGGGGGTATGTGAGTCTAGGAGGGGGGGGGGGGGGGGAGGAAGAGAGAAAAGGTAAAAAAGCGTAATATGAAGAGCTTTAATTTGTACCTTATTTAGGCACAAATTGAAAAAAAATTTAAAATTTTTTCAAAAGAAGTTAAAAAATTTAAAAAAATTGATATGAAGATCTGTGCTCCTGTTTCACTGCATCAACAAAAAACGAAAGCAATAATGTTTATCCCAAAAGATGTACAAGTTAGGAACAACTTCATTTCCTGCACATCATCATCAACAATATCACTATCGCTAACGTCAGAAACAACAAGTTCGCTGCCTGAAAAATCTTCTTCTTCCTCCAAAAGGTCATCGGAGTAGAAGTAGAATTGCGTGCAAAAGCGTTCTGTGTCGAAAATGGATTTGAAACTTTCTTCTTCTTTTAAGCGGTTTTGTGATTTTTTTCGTGGCCCTCTGGTAGCACCAGGAAGTCAGCAGGTAGGTGACCAGTTTCTTCATACCTTCTTTTAGGATATTTCAAAAAGTCATACGGTAACAGCCTGTCTGGACCACTTATATCAATCCTTTAAATGAAGTTTTCAGATAACAATGGTAGAAGGTTGACAAATCTTAAGTATTTGCTTAGATGCTCTATCGTTGTACGACTTCTGCGTTGTGTTCTGATAACATAGTAGATAGAAAATTTCTTTCTCCACCTCTGCCGTGCTATTCGGAATGGAAACTAGCTTTGCTAGTGGGCCCATCAGATTTTTGCGGTAAGTAATGGGAAAAGAGTCAAATCTCATATGCTTTCGCAACACGGGAAGGAAATAGTGTACTTTTTGGGCCTTGTCGAACTCTGGCTTCACCTCCTCTGGCATACGTCCTGTTAGCTGATCAGAAAGCTGCTCAACTTCTTCTTTAACAGCATTTGCGGAATAGCCGAAAAAAGGAGGTACTATGCTGCGCGTTGGTTTTTTTTCAATATCATAGGTCATATTGTCACAAGGCGAATAACTTTCAAAAGCATAAAACACAGAGTTGGGTTCGCACTCCAGCCGGGATCTAAGCGCAGTAACTATGCTTTGTACTAACACCTTCCTTTTGTTCATATCCATGTTTGTGAATTTAGCAGCCTTGAATTCTTCAGCAACCTGAAGATCAGCAATGGACTTCCTGGACATTTCCTCATTGAAACTAGACAATCTGCTTGGATTCCTTATGCAGGAAATCAGAGAGTTTCGCTCAATTCCCAACTCTGTATTAATGTCGACAACATTTTCGTCGGCGTAAGATTCTCCTTCTGCCTCGCTGTTGAACTGGAACACATGCGAGTCATCTGCGATTTTGTAAAGTATTCTGCCCGCCGTTTTTCAAACTGCCAACCTTTCCAAAACATTGAGGAATATTTTAATAACATGTTATTCTTCTGAATGTTTTAGAGTTTTTAATTCATTGAAACCAACCATTCCCTACAAATTAGGTAAGGTGAGTCTAGAGCGTTTTCACGAAAGTGACCTTCTTCAGCACTAGGTTTACAGAGTATAGATTCCAGAAATGGGCGGGTTTTGTGTGAAGGTGTGGAAATTCACCAATCTCCCATAGTTTTTTGAGTGTGTGCTAACAATGATGGCATAACTGTCAATCAAAGCGCATTTTTTACCAAAAAAACGTAAACATATAACAACGATAAGCACGCTCAAATAGACGCGTTCGCTTACGTTCCCGTTAGTGCTGATAACGATTTCAATCCACAGCACATTTTTTACTATTAACTTGCTCCACCTCGCTCTTATTAGGTCGTCCAGAAAGTTTTTGCACACGAATTTCAAAATTCATAACTTCTGATTTTTCCAACCGATTTGACTGCTTTCAATTTTATGTGAAAGGATAAGTCATCTTTATAAACACATCTCAGCTGCTTAGTAATGGTCATCTGTTGCATAGATAGGAGCGATAGAAGAAAAATGGTAAAAATTTTAATTTTCTGTGTAGGGTTATAAAAAATCGGAGACTTGCAACAAAAATCGGAGCAGTCAGTACTGTAGGTTCTTTCACCAGCTCTTTCTAACAGTGCAAAGTTTGCGCCGATTGAGCGTCTCCATGAAAAGTTATGGTTTCCCTGAAGAATGCCAAAATAAATCAAATTCGCCTTTTTGTACTGCTTGCTCGGAAATTATAACTTTTCATGGAGACGCTCAATCGGAGCAAACTTTGCACTGTTAGAAAGAATTGGTGAAAGAACCTAAAATACCGACTGCTCCGATTTTTTTGCAAGTTTCTGATTTTTTATGACCCTACACAAAAATTCAAATTTTGAGTGATTTTGTTTTGAGCTTCTATCTATGCAAGAGATGACCATTACTAAGCAGCTGAGATGTCATTATAAAGAGCATGGCTTACCCTTTCACATAAAAGTGAAAGCAGTCAAATCGGTTGGAAAAATCAGAAGTTATGATTTTTTGAAAATTGTGCTCAAAAACTTTCGAGACGACCTATACAATGTGTTGGCTTTTATCGGTTACCGGAGAAAATGATTTTTAGAGCCGGGAAGCAAAGAAGCCCTAACATGCTGTATACCATTCGAAAGCTGAGATCATGGAGAATCGACGTAGACCATCGACTTTCTTCTAGGTCTTCTGTGCCGCGAGATATGAGGGATTTTATGTGCTTCAAAAATTAACTGATTTTGTGTCCTCACTTTCTGCTCTCCAAATGAATGCTACGAGAAAGTCGACGGTCTACGTTTGTTAATGAAGACTTGCTCTTTAACACAGATAGATAAGCAGCAGTGATTAGGTCTTCATTTGGCAGAAATCTGCTGTTGAAAATGACCATGTTTTCAGCTAAAATGCGGTGTATCTCTCGGTAGAGGGGGGCTAGAAAGAAGTCGACGGTCTAGGTCGAATCCCCTTTTCCTGAGCTTTCGAATGGTATATAGGTTGCTGGGCGAAAAAACGGACCAGTTTTCAAAAATGGGGTGGAGATATTTACTATTAGCTTGCTCCAATCCGGCTCCACCAATGTATTGGCTTTTATCGGTTACCGGAGAAAATGATTTTTAGAGCCGGGAAGCAAAGAAGCCCTAACATGCTGTATACCATTCGAAAGCTGAGATCATGGAGAATCGACGTAGACCGTCGACTTTTTTCTAGGTCTTCTCTGCCGCGAGTATGAGGGATTTCATGTGCTTCAAAAATTAAGTGATTTTGTGTACTTACTTTCTTCTCTCCAAAATGCTACGAGGATAGATAAATAATATAAATAAACATAAATACCATTTCTTTAGTAAATTTATGAGTGTACTTGTTGTTTGAGGTACTTAGCCTGCTTTTCATAACGATTTTTATCATATTCTCAGAGTACGATACCAATCTCAGCCCAGGTGAAGGGGGTCATCGGGAGTTTGGCCTCAAAGTGAAGGGGGTAAGATCCATCACTCCCCCTATCGCAACTATGATCTTGATGGAGTTTCACTTTGCGCCTTGCTATCTTATATATAAAGCTGAATGTCTGTATGTCTGTCTGTATGTCTGTACGTATGTGCGGAATAGAAATTTTTATTTCTGAACCGATTTGGACCAAACTTGGCACACATATACTTCGGGGCAGGGAGCGTGTCATAGGCTACTTTTCGTTATCGATCGATATCGATTTTATCGATTTTTTGCAAAATTTGAGCTACGGGGCTGGGAGTTGGCACAGGGGGGTAATCGAGCATGCTGATTACGAATATAATAATGACAGGGCCGGGCGGAGCCGGGTTTGCCAGCTAGTTCGTTATGAAGTCACTGAACCTCGGAGAGAGAGGCTGTGTATTGATAAGCGATTTATCTCGGTTATTTTGCAAACAGTACCTTCTTTTGAGCAGTATCAACCAGTGGCGTACCCA